GTGATCTTACGAGATTTATTTTCTCGTACTCATAGCAATAATAATATATCTATATGCATTCAACCAATTCTTATGTATGAATAAAGAATAGAAATTATTTTCTTTTCTTTATTCATTTATTTTTCAGTGAGTTAGATAAATATGGAAAATGGATTCCATGTGATTTTCCTAAATATATATTTTCTCAAATAATGAATTCAATCAAAGTATTTCATTTAATGAATTTGTAAAAAAAAGAAATTATTTTTTCTTTTTATTAATATTTTATTTAGTATCATAATAGTTATGTCATTATTGATTTACTACTTAATCATCTTGAAAAATATCTTGATATAGGAGATAGAACAAATATAAAAACTTCGATTATGAATGTTATTCATGATAGTTTAGTTTTTGCTGCACCAAATACAGGAGTTGGTAAATAATCATAAGAAATTCTTTTATTTATATATTTTTTTTTCCTATTTAGTAGGATCAACAATGTTAGGTGGAATAACACGTCTTTTAGAATGTTTAAAGAAATCTTTTCAAATTGCAAGTCGACGTTCTAGAACACCATCAAAGGATCAGAATGAACAACAGTTTCAAACTGCAGTTATTAATGTGATTGGTAAGAAACGAAAGTCACTAAATAGATAGAGTAACTGTTCTTACACAACAAAATAGAATCTATCCATATCACGAAAACCGTTGATTAATCACAATTTTTTTGTGTGAATTTTTTTGACTCTTAGAAAAATATCAGATCGTAGTCGAAATTGTTACAATCGCTTCATTATTTGGACATTTTAGCCTTTCCTTGCATATGTACGAGAGAATTCTAAATCGGTAATACGCAAGGTTTTCATGAAGGCAATTGTTTTGAATCTACTTAACAAAAAAAAGGCTATGAACATATTAGTTTGAAGAATAAAATAGAAGAGCAATAGAAATTTAGCAGAAGATGCTACAAGCTATGAGTAGATTTAATTAATTTTATTAAATATTCAACATAGCTGCTTTTTATTGTTCATATTAAGTTCCATCGTTTTTTAATGATTTGTTGAACATTTTTTCTAAACTCTTCTTCTGGAATATCTTGGCAAATATGTAAGGACAGATCGTGATAGGCACCTTGACAATTCTCTCTTTGAGGATGCGAATAAAAACTATATCGTGTTTCATATTTTAATCTCACAAGGATGATACTTACAACTTTTCATTTGTTTGATCAGTTAAATTACGTTGGATATAATTATTGAGTCAAAAATTACATAGTTCCAGGTATGGTGAATATGTATCAAAATAAAGTATTTGATCTAAACCGACATCAGTGAACAATAGTTATTGATGATTCATCCTCAATAAATCCATATTTCATCATTTGTAATTATTTCACATAATTGAAATGACTCATTATCGAATTTCAGCTACGTTTTACAATAGATTCTAACTCATTCTTACTTTTGTTCATCATAGAATTGACAAGGCGCTTAATATAATGTCACTGTTTTCATGTATAGACAATAGTAAATAATTCTTTCTACTCTACTATAGAGTGAAGGGAAGCTTCAGCTGTTATATCATCATAATTTGAATGTGGATCATCTTAAATAATTTGTCATACCGAGTCAATATTAAAATCTCTAAGCTCGGAAACTGGCCTATACAGCTGTCCGTCGTGACTGAAAATTCATGCAAACTCATACAGTTTTGCCATGTCTTTCTTTTAAAAGTAAGCAGCCACCGCTGCGATAGACATCTCTACTGAACGATCCATCATTTTCATCTCTTCTGCCTTTAAGAAAATGCTTCACCCATCTTACAACTGTTGCATGTATTGAAAAGTTAAATTCCTATAGTGTTGTAACTTGTTCGCGAATTGTCCTTTTTTTTCCTATTCTCGAAATAGAATGATTTTTTGTTGTTGATGAGACATTCTATTATTTATTCATATAATAGAATATTTGAAGTTAAGTATCTATATACGCATTACCGGACGCAACGATTCCATGATTTCTTTTTGTGAATCGAACAATATTCTCGAGTTAAAGTTGCTCCTTACAGAAACGATTAATATTCTTCCTAGAAGAATTTTCTTGACACATGTCCATGTTCGACGAAAGTTTCAGATTATTTTTTGTTAACTAAACATCATCTTTTGTACTAAACTTCTCCCCGCAATGAAAGATCCTTCTTAAGATATGATGTATCAGACTTAATAGATGAAAAGACTGAGATCAACATTATTTCTGGACTTTCAAAACTATTCGAATTAAAAATTATAAAAAATAAATGAGATACAATAGAAGATTTCTCCGAAAAATTTTGTACGCTTGAACATAATAGAGAAGATCCTAGATTTTCTATTGCAGAGAAAAGTTTACTATGATTTATATTTTTCCTAATATGAAAATTTTAATTTCAATAATGTACTATGTGTGTTTTTGATTCTTTTATAATGCACATTATTATTGTTTTATTTTTGAGTATGTTAATATCTATTTGAAAAAAAAAACAATGCTTTTTTTTCTTTTAATTATTTTAAACAGAAGATTTTGCGGAAAAATTACCTGATTTTCAAATGATGGAAATAATAAAATGTATTGTAACATCATTACCAATATATCATCAAAGTATTCAAGAGAAAACAAAAGATTCAAGGTTTATTATTATCAATATTTCTATTTACAAGAAAAAAAAATCATAGAATCTTTTTTTTTTTTTTTGTAGTGATACAAATTTAAAATTTCAATTACTTCTTCTTAAAACAATACAAAACGTATGCTTATATTTTTGTTTTTTTTCTATTATTCTTCTTCATATTTTGAAAAAAAATTAGATTATACTTAAAAAACGTTCTCGACAATCTACTCTTACAAATTCATCTAAGGTTTTTATATGTTTGCTTATTGTTAATATAATTTCTAAAACAAAAAAAGAAAAATTTAGGTTACTACAACTTATAGCTCGGAACAATCAAATGAAATAACATCAACACTAACAACATTTCCTCATCAATTATTTGATCCATTAATTAAAATGATGAGTGCATCAGAATCAGAAGTACGTTTAATTGTACTTGAAATTCTTCAATTACTTGTTGATCGACGATATTATGCTGATAAATTATGTAAAATTAGGTCATTAGTAAAATTTTATTTCTCAATTAAAAACAAAACAAAAATAGTTTATTATTTTAGAATACCTAAAGATATTTCTCAACTTGGTTTACCAACTGAAACAAGAAAAAGTCGTCTTTTTGATATTGCATTTATGAAAAAAGTATATAATTATTATTCTTTTTTTGTTTTGATTTTTTGTAATTTAAAAAAATTTTCTTTTATAGTTTGGTCATCAATTTTGTTCTCAACTTTATAAATGTATATTAATAGAAAATAATACAAAAAAAAATTTTTATGCTATTTATTGTCTTATGAATCTTGTTACAATTGAAGCTAATGATCAAGATGTTCTTGTTGATGTTATTCATTTTTGTCTTGAAGTTCAAGTAAATTTAATTAACAAAAACGAGTATTTCCACTTTTCTTTTTTTTTTTCTAATATATTTCTAGTCAGCAATAATAAAAATGATGGATGAAGATCAACAAAAATTATCTAAAATTAATTATCATTGTATACATGCATTAATTGCAGCTTATTTTAATTTAATATCAAAATTATATGATATAACTTCTTTTTCTCGTTATGTTGATCAAGTAAGTTAACAATATGATTTCGTAAATACTAGAACTAATTTTTATATAATGTTCGATCTTGTTGAATTGAAAAAGACAACCAGTAATCATTTTATAGATATTAAAAAACCGTCAGTAGACCATAATATACACTATACCCATGGTATTCGCCAGTAGTAAGAACAAACATGCAATATGTATAGGTACAGTGATGATTAAGATTGCTTGTATGCTTCATACGAAAAAAAACAAAGACATATAAATCTCACTTGATATTCATCAACATTTTCCTTGTCTTCTTTTACTGTTAACTTAAATAAACACCAAAGGAAAAGAATAAAAATATCCACGAACTCATTAATCTTCCTCATCAGAAAAGAATCACGTAAAATCTCTTAATTTAAAATATATGCAGATTTATTCTATTTCACATAATACTTCTATAGGGATTGCACTAACAGCTTTTTTCTTTTTATCGAATACAACAAATTTACACCGGAAGAAGAAGTTATTTGATGTAAATAAATTATAAAACATGAGCTAAATTTACATTGAAAAATACGCATTGATACAATAAGTTTCTCTGAAGATATCAGGAAAATAAAACCACCGTTTGAGCTCATATTGGACGCAAAATTCAAAAAAGGTTTATCACCTAGTTATATTCGGGCTACTAGATTTTCGACAAAAATCGATATATATATATCTATTGGTAAAATTTTGAATCGAATTTTTATTATTGGGTTTTTTTGGAAGTATTTACAAATAGCTCGAAGATCTAGTATTGAACACCAAAGACCCATAGTGATGAACCTTTATGGGCTTTTACTAATCTCATCAAGATCTTCTTATAGGTCTAATATGAACTCAATTGGCGATTATCATTTGGGATAGTTTGTTGATTAGACTCATTAGTATTGAAAACTAGTATTTGGTCGTTTCACCATGAGGATATCATTTTCTGTATCAGCGAGATGTACTTTTATTGAAAATGACTTTTTCTTTTTTTACTATTAATCGTGTTGATGAGCACTCATGCATTTATTTGACATGATTTATAAATTCAATGAAATGTATATAGAAAGAAACTTATATTCTATTACAAAGTCTCAATGTAATTAAATTTTTTCCACGGTCATTAAGCTGTCATCTGTTGATCTCTCTCATAGACAAAAACACATGTCTCATCTACACTGATGCAGTTATTAATATTCATCTGAATTTCATAAATAACTATTTCCAGACATAGGACAAGTGAAATTATTGAAAGCAAAAAAAATTTTCTTATTTATGTTTGTTAGAAATTATTATTATTTTTTTTCTTTTTAGGTTATTCGTAATCGTGAACTTCATGCACCATATCTTCTACCCCCGGATGCATTTCATTCTATTTCAAAAGAAAATCTATTAAAACATATATCAAAAAAATGTCTATTTTCTCAAGAAATAGTTATTAATGCATTAAAAATATCTAATTATGATGTAACGAGATTTAATCATGTTATTCATCTTGAAAAAGGTTCGTTATTGTTTTCTTTTCTTTTCTTTTTTTTTATTAATTATTATGAGTATTCAAATTAGTATTATCATCATTTAATGTAACAACACGTGATTTACGTCGTAAAATAGTTGGTAATATACGAAATGTTTTACATTGTATTGTTGCTAATATATGATAACGATATTTTTCATTCGTTGATACATAACAAAATGGTTTAAGTATATGACATAAAAGATAAATATCTTTAAATTGATATGATAATTGTATATATGATAATTCATCAATCCAATAAGGTATATGAACAAATAAATAAATAAATAAAATAAGATATGTTGATTGAATTAATGTTTGACTATTTTCAATAATTGTTAAATAAGTTAAATAATCAAATGTTTTTAATGAATGTTGTGTTGGTGGTGTTCCATCAGTAGCAATAGAAGTTTTCGATGATGGATAATGTGTTGAAGAAAAAACTATTGAACGACGATTGATATTTTCATTATAATTCTAGAAATACAAAAAAAAAATAAATAAATGTTTTTTAATTAATAAATAATTAAATCAGAAGAGTCTTGACAATAATCATCAGTATAAAAGAACTAAAAGGAAAAAGAATTTTTTCTTTTTAATGAAAGAGTTGTATCGCCGTAGTGAAGACTGAAGGAAATGAATTGTTACAATATAGTCTTTGATAGAGTAGTATAGACTTGCACTATTCTATTTCCGATATTTAGACAAAAAATTAATAATGAGAATAATTCTATTAAATTTAACAAAGAATAAAATGTTTTCTTTTCTTTTTTTTTGATAATTATTAATCATTCTAACTACGAAAAAATTTCTTTAATGTTTCGAAAATTGTTCATTCTATTGTAATTTTCTAACATATTGTATTAACAAAATATTAATATCTTTTAATCATACAATGTATACTCTTTTTCTTCACTATCATTTTATTCCCCTAGAGATTTACGTGATTTAAAAATGATTATTTTTGTTTTTTTTGGTTATTTGATAGAAAAATACTTTTCAATTTAATGCTAACTACATTAAATCTTATTCTCACTTGATCCAATAATGACATTTCTTGTTGTACAGTTCGTGTTAAAGTTGCAGCTTCTGTAATATTTTTTAAACTATTTTGTTTATATTTTTTAATTGCAAATTTCATTCTAATTAATAATATAAATTGTATAAAAATAATTACATATGTTATTAAACAACAAATAATATTTAAAATTTTATATGTTGTTTTATTAATATAAATAAATGTTTGTTTACATGATGGTGGACGTTGTTCATATTCATATTCATTTATATCAAGATGTGTTAATGTTGTTGTTAAATAAATAATAATTAATGGTGTCATTATAACGAGACATAAAAAATATAATTTTGTTGTTGCGAAATGTTTTTTACAAAAATATACTAATGATGTTACTAAAAGTAGATTAATAATAATTATTTCAATAATTGTTGTTAATTTTTCAAAAAATTTTAATATAAAACAAAAAAATGCACATGGTAAACCTTGATATATATCAATAAGCCGTAATGGTATAATAAAATTACAAACAAATATATCATTTATTAAAAATGCTAAAATATATTTATCAAATGTTGATATTGATGAACGTAATGATGGTAATAATGGTGGTCGAATTATTTGACAACTTATTGATGAATTTGCTCGTAATAATGACATATTTGTTACAGGTGTTGGAGTTCGATAAGATTCTTGATAATGATAAGTTTTTCGTTGAATAGCTAATATTAAAAGCCAATTAAATATTATACCAATTAAACCTATTAAAGCTAATAGAATCAATTCTACCGTAAACATTTTATTGAAATTTTTATTGTTTAATATCAAATCAAAATAATTTTCTTGTTCTCTTTACACGGTTTCGTGCTTGTTATGTGTACTTAATCGTCGTCGTTTTTTTTTCTTCCCTCTAGTTTTTCAATAGAAAAATAAGAAGAAAAAAGAGAAAATGCCAAAAGAAAAAGAAAGAAAATTCTTTTATTAGACAGTATTGCTGTTTAATCTCATTCGTGCGTATATTTGTAGTTTGAGCGAACACGACAAAAGGCACATTCATCATTTGCTATATAATAGGTTAACCTTACCGTCTTTTCTTTTCTTTCCCTCCTTCGTCACTCTATTATAATTGAATTGTGAATGTTCTTATTTTTATAGATTCTGATGTTCCTGGTGGCAATGATAATAACGAATCAGAAACGGATGATTCTTTAAGTAGTAGAATAGATCTACATGTAATATAATATATATATATATACTTTTTTTTTAAATACAAATAAATTATATAAAATTTTTTTTCGAATTTAGAATGAAAATCAAAATGAAGATATATCTTTTGATACAATATATAATGTATTTAATACCGTTGAATCAACACGTATACGTAATGATGAAGATAAACGTTTGATAACTAAATTTCATGAAAAACCATTTCAAGAATTAAAAGTTCTTGTTAATGAAAAAGTAAATTATTTATTTCGTTTTTTTTTTAATATTTTATTTGTATCTTCTAGAAACAACAAACTAATCAACAAATAGAAAATTTATTAAATGTTCGTCATTTATCAAATGAAAAATTATCATCTAGAGTATTAAATGATAATTCAATTTCAAATGAAAATTTAAAATTACAAATAAATAAAATTAATTATCCAGAACTATTTACTTATTAAACGACAAAAAGCATTTTATTTATTTTCTTTTGACATTTGTTAATTTCTTATTCCACTATGTCAAAAAAAAAAAATTTATATAAGATTTATTATAAGAAATCTCTTTTCTGACAAATGTCTTATTAATAAAAAATAAACGACCACCTGCTATTCATCCATTTAACAGAAAAAAAAGAAACAAAAAGAATGACATTGAAATAGATTAAATGAATTCTATCCCTAGAGAATGTACTAAGTTAAGGGTACCCGAAAAAGTACCCTGTTACCAGTATGTCACAGGAACTTTTGAGTACCAAAGTACTTGAAGGTACTGATCAGGTACTCAATTGGGCACTATTGTATAGTATTTCTAGGTACCCTGTTACAAAAATTTCAGTATGTTCAGGATCGAACCTGACCTTTAACTTTTTTTAATTTTTGTTTCTCTCAAAGCAATTTACTACATTATTTTTTCAATTTTATTCAATTTAATTTTTTCAATTCCGAAAACTTAGCAAGTACAATCCCGGCATCTGACCCGATTTGAGTTGATCAGGTATCCATCAGACCACTTTGGAGTAGTCCGCTCTTAATCTACGATCAAGATCGGCATGTTCTCGACTAAGAAATAGTCAAGAAATAATCTAGAAAAAATTAGTATGAAAATAGATTAATTTCTTATGTCTTACTCAGTTGTTTATATGTAGCCGTGCGTGAAAAAGAAAACGGTGAATGAATAGTCGCTACACAGAACGCGACAAATATAGGGTACCCTGTATAGGTTGCCTCAGTAAAATTACAGATGCGAGTACCCATACAAGTACTTGTTAAGTGAGCGTACTTTTATGGGAACCACACTCAGTACCTACATCAGTATAATTACTGAGAATTTTTGAAGTACCCATATTGGGTAACCTGCTAGGCCTTTCTCAGTACATGGGTACCCTGAACTCAGTACTTTCTCTAGGGATAGATGTACAGGATTGGTTTTAGTCCTGAAATCGAATAAAACAAAATGTACCGCTACGAAAAAAAAAAACTTGTTCAAACTAGTGCAGTACGAGAACGTCCAGTACGCACAAAAACAATGAAAGGTAGAGAAGGCTCGGCATGCGACCAAATCATGTTTGTATCAGTGAACAAAAATTATTTATTTATTGAACAATATGACGCAACTATACATTTCAAGATATGGTGCTCTACTATTTTTTTAATAACTTTTGATAGAAACATTATAGAGATCTGTGGTTTCCATCATTCAAGAGAGAAGACCCAAGGCTATATCGAAATATATCAAAATTTCTTTGGTTAATAATTGACCAATTAGATAAGTTCTTGGCAGAGATTTTCGAAATGTCAACTTCTTTGTTACACGGAGGTTAACTGCGAAACTTCAGAATATATTGACATAACAGCGACAGATCATTTCGAACTTAAAAACAAATATTACCATTTGGCTCAGTATAGTGAATTGCTCTCACCTAGTTGCTTTTCTTAGTGAGCACAGATGAATTAACTGAAATTGCGAGTCTCTTATCGGCTAGTCTTATTAAAAGTCTAAATCGAAAAGAAAATAGTTTCAGAGTATCGTTTTCATAAGTCTCATTCAAGAACTCACCTGATTGGTCAATTACTGATAGATCAAATTTCGATGGCTTCGAGTCTTCTCTCCTGAATGTTAAAAACCCATAGATCTCTAAGATGTTTCTATTGAAAGCCATTCAAAAAAATAGTGAAGCATATTATAGTTTGAAATGGATCATAGTTTTTTATCATGCTTAGGAGAATAGAAACATTTCGTAAACCTTATTATGACTTCAATCATAGTTGAGAATGTCACTTGCTTAGACAATGACATGACTGAAGATATTATCCTAGCAAATGGCATTTATAATTTTATTCTTTGAAAGAATAAGATTCTATAATTTTAATGCAATTAAGACCATTTTGTTTTAGACACAACTGATAATGAATGACTAATCCATATCTTACCATTGCATTGACTTATGAAGTAGATCGTATTCTATTCGATATTAAATTGTTATATAGCTTTCGATTAACATTTTCGATATGATCAAATCAAAATATGACGATGATATCGATGTACACTATTCCATTATTCTAACAATTCGTTTCATTTAAATTCTTAATAAACAAAATAGAAGATTCCAATAAAGAATGTAGCTGCCAACGGTAGTGGAATTAGAAGTATTTTATAGAAAACGTATTTGTTTAAGTTTTGTTTGCCTGAAAATATCAAACTAGTAAAAACCTGTTACATGATGAGTGCACTGATTTTTTGCTAATAATCATAAGTTCTTTTAGGGAGATTTTTGTAACAATCACACACAGAGTATATTCTCAGACAGTCGACTTTTTAAAAGTAAGCATTTATGAAAAATAAATATTTAAATGTCTTATCAAGAGACAAAAAGGAAGTATGAACTTTGCTCTACATATTAATATATTAACAAACGTTTATTATTTCAAATAAATCAAAAATAAGTTAACATTTTGTCTAGAAATTTTTAATCTATTCGTTAATTTGTATAAAATGGTATTGACAAATCGTTTCTATTGGTATTAAATCTAGCTGTCATAAACATGCATCGCTTTCTTGTCTTTCATGTACTCTATACTATAAATGGAGTGGGTGTCGGTGTGGGTGTACAAGCTTGTGTAAGAGAGTGTTGTACAAACTCTAGTGTCAAAAATGAAATTCTAGAGATAGAATATTGATAATATGTCTTTGACATGTGTCACAATGGTGAATGCACAGGCTTACATATGAGGTGTATCTGATGGCACCAATTTAGGCTATTCGCCTTGCATCAACCTTTTTAAAACAATTGATTAATTACTTGACGTCATGAAATCAGTGAAATTTTACTGTTATAATCTAATTTTACTTTAGCAAATGTACATCAAACAATGTAGATGTGAATGTGGTAGTAAATATGACTGAAAATGCAAAATAAGAAGAATCAAATACTAGTTTGTCCTATTCAGAAGAGGATTTCAAAAGCTATAGTACAACAAGCAATTTATTCAGTGAAAATAACTGCAAAAAAAACTGTCTACTTATTTCTACATTACTTTATAGAGAATTCAACAGGCTATCTGTTAGCAATAGAAATAACTCCACCAAATCTAGGGAAGAATAGAAATATATAAAATACAAATAGTCCAATTTATTCTGCACTACTCGTTATATACATAAATGATGTTTCATGAGTTTTGGTCTCATTTCTATGCAGAAAAGCTCTTAAGAGTGGAACCGAATCTTATGAAACACTTTTATTATTCAAGATTCGATGCATTTGAAAGAGACAAATGAATCTCTGTTATAAGAATCAACTTGGGTAGCGATTTGAGAATCAAATTCAGACGATGGTTTAATTGAGCGAATACCGAATAATTTATTTTGCAAATACTTATAAATTACAAATTTCAATTTGCTTCATGTTATCCTGCATTCGGCAGAATATTATCATTCCGTTATTCTGTTTCGCAAGACGCAGAGCAAAGCATAAAAAAATTTGTCGTGATAATACAGCGGCGATTTCTTCATTGTATTCTTGACCACGATAAAAACTTGTCTGCACATGAGATACGATGTCTAATGTCACAGACATACTATTTATACAAAAGTCATTTACAATATAGTCATTTTGATAAACTTTATCGCGTATTTTCTAGCAGAAATGAAATGAACGATATAAAATCCAACATGTGACATCCATTAGATCAACAAAAAAATAGACGTAAAGATATAGGATTCACAATATAATCAATAGAAACAGATAGACTATGAGAAAGAAGTCTTCGTTTTATTGCTTTTTCTTAAATTTCTCGTATGACCGATTAAATAATATGTTATGCATTTGATTTGGTGATAAATATGTTCATCTTTGAATAGATATCAATCCAGTTGAGCTGAATAATCTTTTTCTCGAAGCACTAGTCGCTTGTATAGCATGGTCTTTTCTGGCCACTGCTAATAATAATGGAAAATCACGACGACTATCACTATTAGACCAAAATTTCATTGAATCTCAATCAATTAGGTGGCTTGCGTACCTTTAAGGGCACGCGTTCTGTGACGTTCTCTGAATCGAAAAATGATAAGATATAAACAGTTGTAAATTAAGAGTTTTTAATATCTGTCATTCTCATTAGGTTTTATTAATGATGCTTATGATTTGTAAAAACATAGACTTATTGAAAACTCTCGAATTTTATCTATAATTTTGTCTTAAAAGACGATATGTATCATATAAGGTGGACTAGTTTAGATTCTATTTGTTTTGTTTTATTCTTTCTATTTTTTTCACTTCATTCATCTTAATATAAAGACTAAGATTATACTATGATGAATTTATCACATAATAAAAGTTAGAGTGGATGGGGAGTATTTTTTTAATGCTGTTACTATTGTTAGTAAAATATCATGTGAAAGATCTCTACTAATCCAAGAATATGAATTTTTTTTCGAATAAACTGTTGTTTAACCAGTTCATATTAGTAATCAAATAAAAGAAGCGAAAATGAAAAGTGATAAGACATATTTTTAAATAAATGAGCCATTACGACATAGTTCAAAAAAATAATATAAAAATCAAAAGGCTAAATCTAATAAAATGTCATGTTCACTCAACAAGATCAATGTATAAATATGAAGACGATAACAAATGAAAAAAAACCAATATTTTTTTTTTCATATTTATATTTTAACAATTCCGTGGGAGTGTGGAGTGTAGAGAATATCCTTGCCACACCCATATCCAACCGAAATTTTTTTACGATTTCTGAGGTCTCCTTAAGGCACGAAAAAATGATTTAACGCAAAGTAGAAGCCGGGATATATAGAATTCTCATAATTAAGTGTCGGTTCTTTGGAACATTGTTCCGCTGCCCAATTCTGTGGACACCAAAACCTTCAAATCGATACATCATTTCGACGAAGCTCAATATTGTATAAGTCAAGTGTATTGATTTTGAATAGAACAAGGATTATGTGA